TCTGAGCAAGATGCTCTTCACCAGCTCAGACCAGCCACCTGCAGCTGTGTGTGTGTGGGGTGGGGGGTGGGGGGGGGCGGGGGGTTGTCGAGCAAGGCTGCCCACGCATGCCGGGATCCTCAGTGTGGAGTTTCAGGCAGCGTTGCAGATGACCAGCATGCAGGCAGCTCTCTCCCAGAAATCCAAGGCAGGCACCGCGGCTGTTCCAGGGGCCAGTAGGAGCATAGTCCCTCAGCTGGGCGCTGTGCCACTTGCTGCTGCTGCTCAGTGCTGTCGAGCTGATTCTGTGCACGACAGCGGGAGACATCACCTGTCCCTGCGCCGTCCTCACAGTGGTGGTGGTTTGAGCCCATCGTATAACCATTATGTCAATCTCTCTCACTGAGGGCCGTCCTCTTTTTCACTGCCCCTCCACCTGACCAAGCAGGATGTCCTTCTCCAGCCATGTCCCACGTACGTGAGACAAAGTCTCGCCATCCTTGCCGCTAAGGAGCATTCTGGCCGTACTTCTTCCCAGACAGATCTGTCTCTTCTTTGAGCCATCTGGGGTACTGTCAGCAACCTTCCATTTCATGGTGCGCATAGATAGCAGTGAACAGGGGGGGCAGTGCAGCAAAACAAGGTAGTGTGTCTGTGTGAGTGTGTGATCCCAAGGTGGGTAGGAGGGGGTAAAGGAAGAAAGCTTGCACCTCAAGGGCCATGAGGAAAACTCACGATCAGCAGGAGAGGTGGGAGCCAGCTACTGTCCAGGCCCCAGCTCAGGGCACCCCCGGGCGTCAGAGAGGAACGCGCTCCCCCAGGATGGTCAGTGGCTGGGCTTGGAGGTAGTTCCCCAGAACTCTCAGGGTGCACACTGCCCAGGCTCCCCTGTGAGCCTCTAGCACTCCTGATAAACCCACCCCCACACAATGCCACCTACTGTGGGGCGGACCTGTCATCATAGATGTGGCTCATCTCAGTTCGAGGGGCCGGGAGCCCCACACACAGGCTCTGAGGGAGGAGCTTGTCAACACCTTACCCCACGCCACCCTCTGTCTCCACTTCTGTGGCTTTCCCATACCGCCCGTGCGTGCATGCGTGCTCTCTCTGTCTCTGTGTCTGTGTGTATCTCTGTCTCTTTGTTCTCTGCCTCTTGGGCTCGTTATCTCTCTCTCTCTCTCCTGGGTTCTACATACATCTCTCTGTCTCTCTCTGTCTCCTGGTCTCCATAGCTATCTGTGCCCCTATGTACATCTTTGTCTCTGTGTCTGCTTTCTGTTTCTTGGTCTCTGTAGCTATCTGTCTCTTTGGCTCTATCTGTGTCTCTCTAGCCCCTGTCTCTGTGGCATCCCTCCTCTGAGTGGGGTCCTTGTAACAGAGGGCCCCACTCACGGGGTCAGGACCCACGCTCCTCCAGGCCGGCCTCAAGTTAACTGTTCACCTTGGCAACCAACCAAGGTCACAGTCACATCAGCTTATCTTCTGGGGTGACACCATCCAGCCCCTAACCACCAGCACCCAGCGAGGCTGTGGGGGGGCGAGGTGGGCGCAGGGAGCACATATGCACACACACCCCATTCGGCCCTGCTTCCCCGCAGAGCGCCTGAGTGTGAAGGACCAGCTGATCACCCAGAGCCTGGCCGAGAAGCAGCACATCTTCCTGGAGATGTCTGGGCTGAGTGGGCCGGAGGACAATGTCCAGGGCCCCCAGGCATGGCTCCTCTTCCGGGGCGGGAACCCCACCGAGAAGCTGCAGGGGGAGCTGATCCTCAGGTCTGCCATGACGGAGAGTAAGTGGCCGGGCGCCAGGGGGGGCAGCTGCATGGGCGGGTGGGGTAGCAGCGTTTAGTGACCTAGCACATCAGAAAGCTGTCCCTCTGGGCCCCAGGGGCCTGACACTGACCAACGTGGCCTCCCACCTTCAGGGGTTCCCTGATCTTCCTGAAGGTAGCAGTTCAAAGCCACTGAAAGGCACCTCAACTAAATGGCCGGTGGGCTGCTCTGCCAAGCCTCAGGCCCAGCTCTGCTCCTGCCCACGGGTGGGGGCGGGGGCGCCTGGGGTCAGAATGGACCTGCATGTTCCCTGCCTGTGTTGGGTCCCAGGTAGCACCCACCACATGTGCCTGACTTATCACCTCCGCTGATGGGGCCCACTCTGCCACTACCTTGTCCCATTCCCCTCCATGGGCCCCTGCCCTCGTCCCCATCAGACCCTGGTCCCCTCCCAGGCTGGGTGGGGCCACGTCTGTCCAGCTCCTGCCCGGCTCATCACCCAGCCAGCAGGCAGATGCCCCTAAGCCCCACAGACCCACCTCCCTGACCCTAGTCTTAGGGACGGACCTGGATGAAGGCACACCGCCTGTGGGGCCAGCATCAGCCTCAGGCAGGGGCCATCAGCATCGGTCAGCGCTTACCCTCTGTCCCCACAGTCGACGACATCCAGAGCCTGCTCTGTAAGCGGCTGGGTAGCCCCAATGGCCAGGCTGAGGAGGGCGGGGGCCCTCCCCGCCGGGCAGAGACCTTCGGGGGCTACGAGAGCATCACGAACAAGAGTGAGTGCTTCCCCAACCCCCCACCCGCACCCTTAGCAGTGGGCTCCTGGGGTAGGGGATCCTGGGACCTTCCCTTTGCCAGCTTCCCTGACCAGGCAGGAAGCCCCCGCCAGTCCAAGGGCTGTCGCTGCCTGCCTGTCTCTGAGACCCTCTCCCCCTGCCCCCCAAAAACTCCACCCCAACATGACCCTCCTGGCCCAGTGCTGACACACCTGGGAGTGGGGGACCCCTGCGTTCCCTAACGGCCCGCCTGCCCACCCACCCTTTCAGATGGCAGCTTCAAGAAGAAGTTCTGTGAGTGGAAAGGCCCGCCCAGCTGCCCAGACTCAAGGCTCGGAGACACTGCAGGCCCCCCTGAGGAGACTCCCCAGGCAGTGCGTGGCTCCCCTGGGGTAGACCTGGTGGTGCAAGCTCAGGCCCCCGCCATTCAGCGAGCCAGCTCCCCACGGCCCCTGGAGCAGCAGCTCAGCTCAATGCCAGGCAGGGGTGGGGGTGGGGGGTGCGGCCTCCTGGGAGAGTTCTAGACCAACCCTGTGCCCTCCGGCTACTGGTGGACCCTGGCTACACCGAGTCCTTCCAGCTCCGCCTGCTGTGCCTCCGTGTCAGGTGTCAGGCTGTGCTGCTTGTCCTTTATAAGGGAGCTGGTGATGAAGGGGGACAGGGCCCCTCCTGCGGGACAGCGTGCCTGGCTGCTGGTTCTCTGCAGAGGCGGGCCCCTTCAGGCAAGGCAGGCTGGAGCTCCGGGGCTGGAAGCAGCTCCCGAAGCCCCTGGGGTAGTGGGAGACAGACCTGTCACTGCGGTGCTAGGAGGGACAGCGAGGCCCTGATCAATGAGGGGCATCGGCAGGGGTCCCTCTTTCTCAGCTGTCAGCTCCCCACTGGCTTGGAGCGGGCCGAGGATCCAGAAGGCCCACATTCCACACAGGCGCCCCGTTCAACATCAGGGTCAGGGACCCGGGCCTGCAGACACTGCTG